ATTCTTTGTTAGCCTGAACTAACCTCTAGTTCATTTCATCTACTCTCTGCTCTTCTTTACCCATCCTTTACCCATCCTTAGCATATAGAGTAATAAATTAGATATTGTATTGTATAGAAAAATATATATGTATGTATATATAGAGATTAAGAATTATATGTATGAAGAGGAACAAATTGTTAGAAATATTTATACTGGAATGTTACGCTATGTCCATTTTGTTTTAACTGTATTATAAATAAAAAGTTTTTTTAAAAAAAGAAGAAGAAGCACATTAAGGTCCTGGAGTGGCCTAGCCAGTCTCCAGACTTTAATCCCATAGAAAATCTGTGAAGGAAGCTAAAAGGTTCGAGCTGCCAAACATCAGCCTCAAAACCTTAATGACTTGGAGAGGATCTACAAGGAGGAGTGGGACAAAATCCCTCATGAGATGTGTGCAAACCTGGTGGCCAACTACAAGAAACGTCTGACTTCTGTGATTGCCAACAAGGGTTTTGCCACCAAGTCATATTTTGCGAAGGGGTCAAATACTTATTTCACTCATTAAACCGCAAATCAATTTATAACTTTATTGAAATGTGTTTTTCTGGATTACTATATTTAGTAATAAAGTATCTGCAACAAAAGTGGCAGAGAAGAGTAAATGCATGTTTGTTTGTTTTTAAAAAAAAACATTCTAATTATAAATGTGGTTCTTCCATAAGCTCAAGGCCCACCTCAGATTTTGTACACTGTTTTGAAGATACTCTAAATGTAGCTAGGACCAAGGTCAAGTCTTAGAAGATATAATGAGTGAGAGGAAGGCCTTAAGACTTTGTGCAGCTTGAAGCACTAATTTTGCTCCTTAACCCCTTTCAAAATGGAAAATAAAATGCAAGTGAAGTTTTAACTTTACCAACTCTGGGGTTCTACAGGAATGATTCTGGTATCTTGAACTTTTTCACTTTTACCCTTAGGTATCTGCATCAAGGTCCAGATCTTACTGCTTTTTGGGGCAGGGGGGAAGAAATGGGAAATCTACTGATCGATTGTCAGTTGGATGCTGCAAGTCAGTAGTAACTGAAAGGCAAAATTACATGCAAGTACAAGCCACTTTAGTGATTAAAGTGTTGGACCAGAAATTAGAACCATGAGAAACTAAAACCAAACTAGAACCATAATTAAGTAACACAAGCCTACATGGTAACAATTTGTACATATAAAAGCATGTAAATAACTGTTTTTGTGGTTTTTAAAAACTATTTGTGCTTTAGGAAAAAAAAGATATGTCCTTTTTATTTGTAGTAAATTTCAAGTGGGCACTTCAATATATTGTAGACATTTGATATATTCTATTTTGGCACAGGCATAAAGCAGATAGAAATACATGAGATTCTGACTGATATGCTAGGGCTATTAATTTATTTATAATTTTTAAATTTATTTAATTATAAAACTGTAATCTCTTCCCCATGGAATAGGAGTCCAAAGGTTTCTCACAGAGGATCTTTCAGATGAAAATAATTTGTTTTAGTGATTTATAAACTGTATTTAGAGGTGAATGAGCCTGGAAGAAATTTGGGTTTATATACTTTTTATATCCACTTTTTCTGCAAATAATGATTTTCAGTTGCTGATCGTAAGAATATTAACGCAGTATATCTTGTTTCAGTGTTTGAATGGTTAAACTCAGAAGTGCAAGAATTTGCAGAATTTATTCATAGTTTTTAACTTTAAATAATCTTTTCATTGCATGATAAGTTGTTTAGCTCTTCATTTTTTAAATTTTCCCTATTGGAATGAATGCCTTTCCTCTGCTCATTCATGTAATGAAATAAATGCTAAGACTATTGATTGTAAAATGAATTACTATACCATTGCACTGATGCTGAATCATCCACTGTAGCAGAATTGAGCACAACGGTGTAGAAACAAGAGACTGTATTTGCCTCAAAGAAAGATGCCTCTAAACTTAAGAAGATCTCAAAAAAATAAAGCTAGAAGAAAAAAAAAATAGGCACTGACAACAATCCTATGCAGTGCCAATTTTTTTTTATGTTGGCAACTTAATGTTTCAAATTCTGAATGAAATGAATAAAGATGTCCAGTGCATAAATTGGTACATGCTTGTATGTGTGTACAGTATGAATATTGTATATGTATGATGTTTGCAAATCATGTCTGCCATGGGCAACATTCTGAAAGAAGATGGAGCTAGGACTAAAAATAAATACATACTAATGAATTAATAAGTACAAATTGAAATGTTAATAGGATAAGATGTCCCATTTATTAAATTGCTGTTCATTTGCAAATATCAAGCATTCTTATACACTGAAACACATTAGACTCACAAATACATTGTTTCTTTTGAGCAGAAATATAAAAAAAATAAAAATAAAAATGAGATGAATAATGGAAGTATCTGCATTGAAAGGAAAAAGAAAGTAGGAAACAAAACTGGATGGAGAAAACAGGAAAAAAAACGAATTAAGTCACTTTTCCTTAATGGAAAACTTTTAAAAGAGATTATATATGAAGTATTTCTCTTCAAAGCTTTAAAGAATTATTTATTTGCAAAGCTTATATATGCATGCATGCACCACTTCTTGGTGGTCTCTTGGGAAACATCTGTGTGTAAATGTTTGAACAGCCACACAAACCTGGCAAAAATATACTATTTCAGTGCTTTGAAAAGTGGGGCTTCATCTTCTGTAATCTGCTTTGTGAAGCTCATCTCTCAATCGCTTTGCATAGACTTACTATTGAGGACTTATCTTATTTCAAGCTTTCAAATAGTCCTTTCCAGACAACTAAAGAATTTCAGGCTCTTCTCCAGGATTTTCATGCTTTGCAGCATCGATATCAACAGGCATTTCCATTTCACCTTCTCCCTTTACATGCAGATTGTTTGTGGAAACAATATAGTACTTTAAATAGATGTTAATATGTTTCAGAAATGATGTTCCTATTGCTGTTCTTCTTTTGACATGGTTATGGCATTCATTTATTATGGTATAGATAGACTCCATTCAGTTGTGTTTTCTGTTTCTTAATGAAATTCAAGAAGGAATTATAAATTCTCAGACAGCTTCTGTTATGCTATATTTAACTGTCCAACATTTCCTTAAAACACATGAAAATGGGATTTCTTTTTTTAAATTTAAATGCTGTTAAAAAGTAAGAGATTGTATATATGCTTTTAGTATATAGGATGTAACTTAGATTGAATTGTAAGCCAACAACTGTTTCATGAAAAAACACATACAGGACACAACCTGCAAGTGGATTGTGCCAAGTTAGATTGGTAATACTATTTTTAGGCATGTGCTTTACAATCATTTTGACTTAGAAAGACTTTTAAATCATAGAGGTTCATCTCAAATATCTTAGGTTATTTGATAAATTGTATAATTTAATCATGCCCACTTGTAAACATTTCTCTCTAAATTTCTTTGAGAATGAAATTTAAAATTCATTTTGAAATTATCATTAGTATCCTTTGTGAATGGAAACATGCCTTGTAATTTAAAGAAAATATCAATCATAAATTCTCATAATGAATAGGCTTTTTAGTAAGATGAAGAAATTAACTTTGAATGATAGAGCAGCTGAGGTCCAGCATTTCTCAGAGTATAGATATTGGTTATGTCAGTAATCAACAAAGGCTTGGCTTCAGGGCCATGAAGGTCTGGTCAAAGTATCCATTTTAATGTGGGAAAAGCAAGAGGAAGAAGAAATAGGTTTAAATTGACAGGGCAATCAGCTATTCAGTATGACTTTCTTCTAATTTGCAGTAAATGTTCTTATATAACCATTCAGCATAGAGGTTTTTAGAGATTGCAGTCAAGTTTGAGCCTACTATCACATATAAAAGGTATAAAATTTGGAAGCAGAATTACAGAGCTTGTATTGGGAAGCAAAGCAAATCATTCCATTTTGGGCCATGTGGCATGATCCCAGGAGTGATTGCAATTCAGTATGGATGCTTGGAAAATGGCAGCCACTTCTGGGATTACATCACACAGCCCAACAATTGAGCAGCCTATTCTTCTTCCCTAACCGAAGCTCTGAAAATCTTTGAAAGGTTGTTGCGTGATGAGTGACACAGGGTGAGGAGAAAAGTGTGGAGCCTGGTAAGGTGGGAAGCCAGTCCAAGGCCAGCAGGGAGCTGATAAAAATATTAGGGGGGAAGATAGGTAGGGGTGCTGCAGCAATCCTATAGTCAGGTGTAAAGAAAAATGATCACAGGTACTACAATCATAACTTTGGGATTGGTTGTAAGTAGCTTTTAGTGAGTCCACTGTAATTTTGAATGGTTGCTAAACAATCCTTATAAGTTAAGGATTTACCTGTATTATTTCTTGCTGCTAATTTTGACCACCATAAAGAGATTAAATGGTATGTATTAATTACATAAGCATATTACAGAAGAGTAGTTTATCTTTAGATTTTCGTCTTAAAATGATAGGGCTTCTTTTCAAAGAATTTTTCTTTATTTCTGTATGATACATTATCTCATATTCTCTAGTGAAATTATGTTGGTAATTCATTTTAATTCCTATATCAATAATTATTTCATACATTTAATAAAATGTTTAGATGGAATTGTGGATAAATATTTGGGGCACTGGCTTATTAACCTAAAATAAATACTGTCAATAAAATTTAAGAGAGTATAAATGTTACTGCATAAAAGCTTAAAAATATAAGGATTTTTTAAAAATAAGGTAGGAACAGTTGATAAGGCAAAATTCAGAACATAGTTTTACTAAAATAATTGAAATGCAGGGGGTAATTCTGTTAAACTGCATGGTATACAAAATGTTTAGATTGTTTAGAAAACAAATTTTGCAAAATAAATGTGTGGTTCCTAAAATGTGTATTTAGTTTTGAAAATAAATTATGAAATACTATTCACCACTATGAACAATCTCAGGAAATTGTTGAAAAATTGTTTTCAAGCTATAGGCACATGTATATCATAAAAGTAATAATGTGATACTTTTTCTTTGTTTCAGATTTAGGCTCTTGGATTTAAGACAATACTGTGAGAAACTATCTGAGATTATATATAAGCATGGGGACTCCTGGCTCAGGAAGGAAAAGAACTCCAATGAAGGACAGATTTTCTGCAGAAGATGAAGCCCTAGGTCATATTGCTAGAGAGGTTAGTAAATTTGTTCAAACCTAAGTGACAAGTATAATGTGGGAATCGGTATGTTATTGCAGTGTAGGTAATTCTTACTTGAATTAAGTTGGAACTTATGCAATAGTATATTCAGAAAACATACTGTAACCTTTATTGGCATGCTAAGTAATTCAAACATAGAAATTCTTCCTCTCCTAATGATGTGACTATGGACTGCCCATCTAGTGCAAAGTTTCAAATGGCTATTGTATGAGTCATTTAGCAAATCTGCACAATGGTATCTACTAGTTAGAGTTAAACAGAGAAAGAATTCATGGCTTATTAGTGGAATAATTGGTCCGTGTGTGTGTGTGTGTGTATATGAGCAACTAAGTATGAGACTAGTGTTATGCAAAGAAATGTAAAACTCTTTCTTTCTTTCTTTCTTTCTTTCTTTCTTTCTTTCTTTCTTTCTTTCTTTCTTTCTTTCTTTCTTATTTAATTATTAATATATTTATTTATTTATTTATAAAATTTATTGGCTGCCCATCTTACCATAGGTTAACCCTGGGTGTATTCATCTAAGCTAAAACATAAGAACAAATGTTAAACCAAAGACACATAGGGGGGAGTGGAGTGGGGGAAGATGGGATCTGTTATTAATCACCCGCCTCAATTGCACTGTTTCCCCCCCCCCAAGTTAATTGGCAAAACCACGTTTTTAGGCCCTTATGAAAAGATAGGGTTGGGGCCAATCTTACATCGGGGGGGCAAGATGTTCCAGAGGGCAAGAGCAACAGCAGAAAAGGCCCTCCTCATGTACCCCACCAGCCAGAATAATCAGGCTAAAGAGACCTGCAGCATGCCTCCTCTGCTGGCACAAGTAGTATGGGCCAATCCCAGTGGGTGAGATGACCCTCAAGTAACCTGGAGCCATGCCATGAAGTGCTCTAAAGGTGATCACCAACCCCTTGAATTGCACCCAGAAGCAAATGGTAACCAATGCAGCTCACGGAGCAGTGGTGTTACAGGGACCATTCTTGGGAGACCCAAAATTACCCACTGCTACATTCTGCACCAACTGTAGCATCTGATTGCTCTTCAAGGGTAATTCCATGTAGAGCGCATTACAGTAGTCCAGTCATGAAATTACTAGGGACTGAATAACTGAGTGCAGGGAATTCTGATCCAGGAAAGGCCATAACTGGCACACAACATAAAGTTGTGCGAAGGCTCTCCTAGCCACAATTGTCACCTGTTTTTCGAACAAGAAGCCCCAAGTTGCATACTGGGTCTTTCTGGGGCAGTGCCACCCCACACAGAGTCAAAGATGACAAAGTCCCACATCCTGGAGCCCTGTGTATTCAAAGCCATTCGGTCTTACCAGGGTTCAGTTGAAGCCTGTTGACCCTCATCCAGGCCCCTACAACCTCCAGGCACTGTGAAAGGGCAGCCACAGCATCACTTGGATCACCAAAAATGGAAATATAGAGTTGGGTGTCATCATCATGCAGTATATACAATATGATGTCAATTTCTTAACAGTTAATGTTATCATCATCTATCTTTACCACAAAACCTAAGCCTATTATTGAAAGATAGATAGATATTTTGTATTGTTATTTTAAGTACACAGATTTTTCATTCCTTCTTGTCTTCCTCCCTTTTAATATTAACTTTTTTCCTATAATCCTAAAATAGTTGTGTAAAAGTTGATTTCTATTTTGTACTGCATTTTGGTGATGTTGGATTTTTTAATTACATCTAAGTATTTTCAATATAACAGGCAGAGGCACGCCTTGCAGCCAAACGTGCAGCCCGAGCAGAAGCAAGGGATATACGCATGAGGGAATTGGAACGCCAACAAAAAGAGGTATGTACCATCAGAAAAAAATATTACTATCTTAAATTTATTAGAGCACACAAATAATAGACTTCCTTTTTTTGTAAAGCAATATAGAAAGCATTTAAAAGAAAATATTATTACTAGAGATATTCTTCAACCTTTGGCTATAATGGAGCCTGCCCTGGCAAATGGAGATGATCATTAAGTGAGACAGCCTCACTTGACAACCCCCATCGCCTAATCTCCCTGATGGCTTGTTAAACAAACACACATGGATTGTTAAACAGAATATGGCATGTCTCATGACTGCAGGAGGCCCTGGGAAGCCTGTCACCCAGCTGGGTCTATGTAAGAGGCAGTTAAGCAGCAAAAAGCTTTGCATACCCTAAAACAGGTAAGTGGGGAGAAGACCCCAACTAGATTGGGTCCAGCATCAAGTTCCAGTGCCAGAGAGACTTCTAAACAAGCCTCTATGCATGGCTGATGAACCACACTTTTGGACTGGGCCTATGTCCTGCTCATCTGGCGATTGGGAGACTGCAAACAGCCAGCTGCAGCAGGAGCTGGGTCCCAAAAGGAGTCAGACAAACAGCAAAAAGCTTTCCAAAGAAGGCTTCCAAGCTTTTTGCTGCTTGTCTGACTTCCTTTAGCACCTAGCTAGGATTTCTCTAAAAGGAGCCAGATAAACAGCAAAAGATTTCGCAAGAACCATGTTCTGCCATGACTGGCCATTTGTAGCATGTGTTGTGCTGTAACTGGCTGAAGTTTTTGAGCTGAACTTTTTCTTCAGCTCCTTAATGCAAACAAGCTGCAGCAAGATTTTCTTTGCTTCCTTCCTTCCTTCTACTCTTCAGCCTGGCAGTCACTCATCAAGGTAAGTAACTTACAGAATTTGTCACCCTGTTTCAGGCATGCAGTAAATTTAGCAAATGGGGTGATTAAAAGGATAGAAATCAGAGGGGAATAGTGGAGAGCTTAATTTAAGCACCTAATGGGGGGGGGGGTAGGAGATAAAGAATAACAAGTTCCCCCAACTTTTTTTCCTGTTTTCTTTATTGAAAACGGGTATGTGTGTGTGTGTTAAGGGTGTAAGCAAGAAAAAGGGTTTGGGAAGTTCCTCCTGAAGCTGCTGCTTTTACATGGCGGCAGCTGGCTTTTCCAAAGTCTAGCAAGAATTGGGAGAGGTCTGCAATCTCCTGACAGCCAGCTGATCAGGGCAGAAAGTTATGAAAGCAGCTGCCGTTTTTGCAAGGAATTGTTGGCATGCTGAAAATGGCAGCTGTTTTTAGAAGGCATAGAGAGCAGGCCCAAGCACTGTGGGGTCCCATTGAAGTTGAGTGGGAGGGGAGAGAGGCGGGAGGGTGCTGTAGCATCCTTGTAGTCAGAAATAAGGGTGAATGATTATGGAGGTGCTGCAGCAGCCGTAACTTCAAAACAAGGTCATATGTAGCTTTTAGGGGGCATGTTGTAATTTCAAATGGCCATTAAGTGAGCAGTTGTATCTCAAGAACTATCTGTATATATATATTTATAGTATATTGAATATGTTATTCTGTAGCAGAGATGTGCAGTGTTTTCAGTGTATATGTTACGTAAGATGCCATATATACTAGTAGGTGAATGCCTGTGTATCTGTTTGTTTGTGGATAGACATATACATGGCATCCCCATTGTGTGATAGAAGAGGACAAAGAGGATGTTTGTACTACAATAATTCTAAGTTGCTATAACAGCTATAAGATTGCAATACCATAGAAGGAAACTCTTTGTGCTAGAGAAATCAAGAGAAGCAAAGACAGTCTGTACAAGAAGCTACTGGGAATCATGCAGAGTATAGGTTGCCTCTCATGATTTAGAACAGTGGTTCCCAACCTTTTCTATACCCCGCAACCTAGAACACTTCTGATATATTCTCACACCCCTTAGAAAAGTTTGAAATAATGGCAATGAATTATGCATATATATACATTATAATTTTGAAAACCCAAGTTTTCACACCCCTGGAGTATCGTCTAACACCCCCAGGGGGTGCGAGCACCCCTGGTTGGGAACCTCTGATTTAGAATAATATTTCTGTATTGTAAAAATAATTTATTCTATTTGTGCAATAAGTATTCAGAATCTGGGATAATACATGAGGATTTGTGGTAGTTTTAACAATGGTTTCATTATTACTAATGTATTGGTATTGGAATTTCTGATCAGTTATAGCTTATTTTGTCCTTGCAGTATTGCATTTAAATAATCTTTAAATTGCTAGGTGAATTCCAGACAGTATTGCAAAATAACCTGTATTTTGTATGCAGAATTATGAAAGATGACATCTATTGTTACTGAAGTATTACCGTTTTAAAATAAAATTTTCTACATTTTTGTAGCTTTCTCAGCGTTCTTATGATAGAAAATGGGGACATATCCAGAAGTGGATGGTAGGCCAGGATTGCGTGTTTTGTGGTGCTTTTGTCTTAGAAAACTAATCTGATTGCGGTGTTTATTTCCTAATATTTTAGTATATAAAATTTCATTAAAAATAATGTGTCTTGGTGAAAACATTTAAAATGCATAAATATATGAAAAATACATAAAACATGCAGATTAATACAAATATGGTTATAGAAGAATCATCATAATTTGCCTAATCTGTTTAAATTTTAGAATTGTAAGTGCATATACCAGAGAAATGCATTGCCAAAACTATTATTTAGAGATGTTGGATCATGTCCAAAATTGTATATATCGTTTCAGTATGGGATAAATGGAGGCCAAAAGGAAGTGACTTTACCACACAACTTTCTTGTGTAAACTTAAGACAAAATAAGCCTGATTTTCTATGGCTACTCTTTATTTAGAGAATGATTTGGAACATTACAACAATTTCCCAGTATTATATGTAAGTTAAATTACGTTGTATGTTAATAAGAGCCTTCTAAGCTGTGAAAAGCTGTGATATAAAGACCGAATGTCAAATGGCCCAAAGTAAAGACTTATTTTATGTGATCTAATAATTGGATCAATGTGATTCTTTACCAAAAAGTCATATATAACTATAAGTAATTATGTCATCTATATCCTTTATAATTTCACTCTGAATTTTAATGATAAATATATTTAATTTTATCATTTATTTTCATGTTTATATTATTATCTTTAATTATTCAAAAGTAATACTCCTTAGGAGTCACACATTGGTAAAATAAATATTCTAAATTATAGAATATCTGACATTTACAATTAATATATCATATGATTATATTGGATAAAATATATTGTTTATACTATATGATGCAAATAATAGCAATGGTTTTCTAATACTATTTTGTTTTTAGTTTTCTAATTTTATTGTGTCACAGTTCTAACATAACTGTTGAGTATTTTCTTACCACTTATGTAGCAAGTACATGAGAAGCTGTAATTGGGTAGGCAGATTGCAGCCTTCTGAATCTATTGTGATTATGATGACTGAAAAATTAAAACTTCTTGGTATTCTAAATAGGAAACACATGTATAAGGTCTGAAATACTTCACAGTTTAAAAAAGCAACAACTTTCCCTTAAGTCTATAGCCTATTTAGTGAAAAGTTGTTTATCTCCAATTGACTCAAATCCAGCATCTTTTAAACTAAAAAGTATACATAAGTACTATACTCATTTCTTTAATTATAATTTTAAGAGAAAAAAGACAAATAATTTTATTCTTGAAAATTGCTATCCAAGGCGTATATAGAGAAATGCATTGCCAAAACTATTATTTATATTTAAATAAAATTATATATAGATAATGTTTCCCATATATATAGCATCCTTCTGATGCTTTAAAAATTACAGTTCAATAACAACTTAGGAAGATCTCTACAAGTTATACCCAAAACTTTCATGGGCTGAAAATGATATGCTTCTAATCTATTTTATTATAGAGCTAGTTATATATTTAGTGTAGATGTTTTAAAATGTCAATTATCATGTTAGTTATTGAGCCATTTGCTATTCCTCTGGATATAGCTATCAAACTTTGTAATCCATGTATGTTTTCATAAGGCACCTATATATATCTATATAATGTAATATTTATTTTTTTACTGCTAGTTGTCAAATATTTTCATCTGTTCGTATAACTCCACATAGTAGTACTTCATCAGAAGAACAGATTAGATTGGTTAATTTAATGCTTTAATTAAAATATTTTTGATTAATCAAATAGAATTTTTGCATTACTACTATAAGGGCTAATAAAAAGGGCTAATAAAAAGCTAAAAAAACATTTTAAAACAGAAATTGTTAATTCTCTAACAGAAAAAAATAACACATGTGCTTAATCAGTGAACAAATATGCCTTTTTATGTTTGACCAATATTTTTATTATTTGCAAATTAATGCATGTTTAAATTATAAATTTAAAACATTACATTTAAGCAATTAAATTAAAATTAATATAATGGATTGTTATAATATATTGAGAAATAATTAGATAAAGTAGTGTTAGGTTGTAAATTGAAGCTTGTAATGCGCATTTGTATGAAAACCAGCTTCCATCATTTTAGTAACCTCTTCCATTTTAAAATAATTTTCTTGGTTCAAATATTATTCTTTCATTTTTTAAAAAAAAATAATATCTGATGTTTCCCTTCTTAGGAAAATTCTGAAAATTCATACCGGTCCAGCCGGCAGTCATACCTGGTTTGTACTATAGCTAGACTTATTTTAAGCATAAATTCAGTCTTACTTTATCTGTTTTTGATTTTCCTTTTTATGAATGTTGCTTCATTATTTAATTTTTTTGATTAGGGAGCTGGTGATTTGGTATCCTCTCAAAACACTGGTAGTCACAGGGTTAGTATTAAAATTTATTTAAATAAAAATAATGCAGCATTTGTTTTTGACAAATATAGTTTATAATTTGAGTATGCTATGAGATTATTAATACATTTGAAATGCTAGTTATTATGCAACACAGAACTGAATATATAATGAAATTTTAAAAAAATTCAAAGATAATTCTTTAAACAGAAGAATGTAATTTCCTAGAATAAATGTTAAATTTTTTTTATAGACTTGTGGATTGAAATACATAATGATGTTATTTCTTCATTAAGTTAAAAATATCTTCTGAATTCAAGATTTTGTCAGCACCATATGTCTTGCATGGTTTTTAAATTTCCATGGGTTATATACTGAGTTGCAGTTTGAAATGCAGTTGGAAGAATATTGCTTAAAGTAATTTTAGTTAGCATAAATGCAGTTCTGTAGTTAAAAATATCAAAGAAATTAAGAGGAGTAGGGGATAAGTTAATGAAATATTCTCATTTTTAATAATAAACTGAATTATTATAACTACATTGAGGTCTTTGTATTGTAATTCACATTTTACATTAAACCATAACGTGGTATGAACCGATCATTATAGTTTGTAAACTATAGCTTACAACTTAATATGTTTGGACCCATTACAGTAGTTAACAATCATGGATATTCATACCATGGTTTGGCTTAATGTGGAAACTAGAGCTATGCTTAAAAAGAGGTGCTTTGCAAAATATATTAACATGAATAAAGTGTGTGTATACCTGTGAAAATACACTCTTCTGAGGCTTTGCTTACACACAGAGACAATACTAATACAGTGAGGGGAAAAAATATTTGATCCCCTGCTGATTTTGTATGTTTGTCCACTGACAAAGAAATGACCAGTCTATAATTTTAATGGTAGGTTTATTTACACAAAGGGAAAAAACAAACCAACCTACCAAAAATAGTGCCATAAAAAACAGAATAGAAACGCAAGTTAAGATAGGCAAGAAAACGGTAAGTGAGCACCTGTTCAGCCTAGACGAGTTCAAATCACCAGGACCAGATGGATTACACCCCAGGGTTCTCAGGGAACTGGCAGATGTGATCTCAGAACCATTGAACTATATTTTTCAAAGATCCTGGAGCACTGGGAAACTACTGGAGGACTGGAAAAGAGCTGATGTAGTTCCCATCTTCAAAAAAGGAAAAAAAATGGACCCAGGAAATTACAGACCTATCAGCCTGATCTCAATACTTGGGAAGATTCTGGAAAAGATAATCAAACAACGAATCAGCGAACACCTAGAGGCAAACAAAGTCACTACTAAAAGCCAACATGGGTTTGTCAAAAACAGATCGTGCCAAACAAATCTTATTGCATTCTTTGACCAAGTGACAAAATTAGTGGATCAGAGGAATGCTGTGGATATAATTTACTTGGACTTCAGTAAGGCATTTGATAAAGTAGATCACAATCCACTACTTGATAAGATAGAAAAATGCAGGTTAGACAGCATCACCACCAGGTGGATCCGTAGCTGGCTGACCGGCCATACTCAGCGTGTGGTCCTCAATGGAACCGCATCTACATGGAGGGAAGTGTGTAGTGGGCTGCCCCAAGGCTCTGTTTTGGGGCCAGTGCTCTTCAACATCTTCATCAACGATTTGGACGAGGGGATAGATGGGGAAATCATTAAATTTGCAGACGACACCAAGCTGGCAGGAATAGCTAACACTCCAGAAGACAGGGTTAAGATACAGGAGGATCTGGACAGACTTGAACACTGGGCGCTATCTAACAAAATGAAATTCAATGGTGAAAAAAGTAAGGTTCTACATTTAGGCAAGAAAAACCAAATGTACAGGTATAGTATAGGGGGTAACTTGCTCAATAGTAATAACTGTGAGAGGGACCTCAGAGTCCTAGTGAACAATCACTTAAATACGAGCCAGCAGTGTGCTGCAGCTGCTAAAAAGGCCAACACAGTGCTGGGCTGCATTAACAGGGATAGAATCAAGATCACGTGAAGTATTAATACCACTTTACAATGCCTTGGTAAGGCCACATTTGGAATACTGCATCCAGTTTTGGTCACCACGATGTAAAAAAGATGTTGAAACTCTAGAAAGAGTACAGAGAAGAACAACAAAGATGATTAGGGGGCCGGAGGTAAAAACATACGAAGAATGGTTACAGGAATTGGGTACGTCAAGTCTAATGAAAAGTAGAACTAGGGGAGACATGTTAGCAGTGTTCCAATATTTGAGGGCTCCTACAAATACGAAGGAGTCAAACTATTTTCCAAAG